TGTAGCCCGTCACCTTATAAATCACAAAATAAAAAAACACCAGTAAGGCGACGACGCTAAACTCTACTGGGCGGCATCGTCCAACGATGATGATAATTATTAATATTATTGTTAGTCGTCGTCGTCGCCAAACCATCTGTTATAATAATAATTGTTTTGTTTTGCTCCAAAAACCACACACTTTGACGCACGTCGGCCACGATTCGGTTTGGTGGGTATCGCAAAAAAATATGAGCTGTTACTCGAAACAAATGGATTAGGAGACAAAAAAAAAAAAATTAAATACTAGCTCGAATAGAACGGGTTTTGGTTAATAACGGACGAAAAATACAAGTTTTTTTGTCAGCACATCGTTAAAACGATAAAATTAAGTTGTTGAAATTATATATACATACATTGTTTTACTAATTATGTAGTTTGATTGATATAGATAAAAATACTAACACCAAAATGTTCAAAGAAACGGAAAAATGTTGCTCTCGTTGTTGTCCTTGGGCTATTACAGCAGACTTGTGCGTTGAATAAACTTCACAGCAAATAGAGAGGAAATAAGATGATTGAAAACTATGACGATTAATTTAAAAAAACAAAAAACAATAATACATTTATAAAATATACTAATACAATATCGTGGATTTTAATTTAATAAAATATCATTCTAACTTCAAATCATTTAGAAAGTTTTTGCATAGTTTTACAAAAAGTTGGCATTTTTTACTTGTATACTTTTTTTCTACTTGAATTATTATAGATAACTTAATTACTCTATTACTTGATTTATCTTTTGGCACATCAAAAGCTATAAAAAAAGCAAAAGAACTGTTTTTGATGGTCAATTTAATGAACGTTTGTTAGATAAAGCGCAGGGAAATAATTTGCTGATAGGAAAAGTCCTATTGTTGTAATGGTTTTTATGGAAATATTATTTCAAAACATTTTGCCCACAATTTCTTAAAAAAATTATTGTAGTACTTAAGTAAGTCGTTTAACAAAAAGCGGTCCATTTGTTTGAAGTTTTAGACCAAAAAGCCTAATAACATTTTGACTACTTGAGATGAATCGATTTTAGATCTGCAAACATATACGAGTACTTGAGCTAAATCACTAGGTTATGTTGGAATCAGAACTTTTGTATTTTGCTTTTTCTATAAAAAAAAAATGCGTTTAAACATTTTCAAATTTAGCTTGATTACAAAACACTTGCCCATTCGGGGTCAAAATGTAGACTTTTTTGTTTATTAATATCGTTCGAGAATTATAAAAAATATATCTTTTGTTATTAAGCGGTTAATTCAAAAAGTGTGAAAAATGTAAAGGAAAAATTGTGTTTGGATGATATTATACAACATTAAAGCTCTGTAAAAGTAAATAAACTACACCAGATAAAGTTCTTAAACTCATCTCAGATCTTTTACATACTAAGGTGATTCTTAGAAGTCCTTAAATATTAAAATCCGTTCATCGATCTTAGAGATCTGCTGAATGTAGCTAAAAATGTTTATTCATATTTTTCATATCTTCTTGAAAAGCTCTTTTAAATGAGTTTAAAATCAACGTTTCATGAGAAAATTAAGCGTTTATAAAACAAAAAGTAACTAACAGTTTTTTATTCCAATTCAAATAATTCAAATACATCTATTTTCTCACTATTAGCTTAGTAAGGAATTTGTCTTTTTTCATTTCAATTTCCCACACTGTCTCGATTTTTCGAAATCTTTTGTTAACGATTTGAATTTTTCAATTGAAAATCCGTTTCCAACACATTCGGGTATTGATGCCCAATCATTTCTTAACTTTTTACACAACTATTGAAATCGGACATGCCCAATTCGCGCTCGTGGAAACAATTTCTAGTCATTTTTTTTCCGTACCGAGTTGGTTAATTAGAGACCATTCAAATTCACCTGTAGACTAGATGGTTAGATTGGATTGAAATACCCATGTGGCTATATCATGTTAATCCACCCACCTAACTGCCCGGTGATTAACGATGGCAAATCAATAGTAATTTGGCGAGCAAACAGTTTGTCGAGAACAATGCATGCGGTTAATGGTCGAAGTCGCGGGTCTCGTGTTTGCTGTGTGCCAAAACTAAACGAATTAAATTAACGACAACCGCTTTGGTAAACAGAAACGATACAAGGAACACACGGGCATGACACACGTGTGATGTTATTCCGGTGGGAATCGGCGGGCAACAAACACAGTTGGGTTTATTTGGATGTTATTACGATTGCCGTATAACATGTACATACATATTATTATTATGATAATGCTCGTCGTTCGAGAGCGACACGAATTATTAGATTCATCGTGTGTGTGTTTGTGACGGTTTAAAAAACCCCGACGGTATATTATTCATTGTGGTGTTCATATTTTTGCCATTTATATTTGTACTTAAGTATCGTTTTTTTTTCCCCCCCATAAAAATGTGTCACGTTTCTTTTCGAACGGTGGTTGCTGTGTCGCGTAAAAAGTGTTCTTTTTTCTTGCAACGTTAATTTAACCAAAACGGTGTGTACGATATTGTATACGGTATTATGATGATAATATATTATCTTCTGCACACCACTACGACGCAATCGCGTACCTTGTTGTTGTTATTATTATTGTTACATCATACTACAGTCCGTGTTCAAAAATAATAATATTATGAACATGAAATATCACAACGACCCGGCGTTACTTGGCAAAAGTTTTTTGCGCTTTTGTTTCTCAATTGGAAACGCGCGAAAAGTATTTTTTATTTTTTTTTAATCTCGTTCTATCATTAGAACTCCCGGGAATTCCCGACGTCTCTGTCACTGAAGTGTTGGGAATTCCACAAACGTTTTTGTCGATGGAACGTTGGAAATTCCAGTTGATATTTTATGCAAATTTCAACAAACGAAACTACAACGTGTTAAAAATAATAACAATAATTCGTGTAATTTTGTAGGAGCTATTTGTTTTTGGAGACACATTATTTAAATTTCTTTTTCTACTTTTAAGCCTTTTTTTCTTATTGGAACAAATTTGCCGGATATTTTGATATTGCTTATATATTTTAATTGATCTGTCAGATGAAGGTTTTCTACAGAGGGTTCTCTTCTCGTACACAGTCATTATATTGGGTGCCTTTGTTTGATATCAACGATCATCCCGCTGAGTACTAAACCGTAATAACGGTTGAATTTATTTATTCGTGTATATATATATATATATTTTAAATAATATCATAACAGACAGCTCCTGTTTTCCATTTTGTATCCCCCCAAAAAAAACTCACTGTTCGGAAATAATTCATAAGACTTTTTTATTATTTTTTTCTGTTTTTTTTTATAATATTTTGAAAAGAAAATCTCCAATGGTTTAAAGGAAAAGAAAATGAATTGTTGAAAAAAAAAAGACGGATTGCCCAGAAAACCGGCAATGAATATATTTCAATTTTTTACTACACGTCTTATTTATTCTGAAACAATAAAATGATGTCGTTAGATTTACTTGGATGGTAAATCTGTTGGCAAAACATCTTGCGTTTAAAACAAACGGTAATTGGTGATTGAATTTAATTGTTTTCTAATTAAAAGTAGCGGATTGACGATTTTTCTTCGAACGTCTATAAACTATTTATAATTTCCGTATACTAAGTATAACTTTTTCTCAATTTCATAATTTCTTACTGTGTTTGGTTTGGATTTTATTGGTTTAAAAATACTAACTACTGATTCGAATCGAAGCGTTTATTTGAAATCACTTTCAGTTGTAATAATTCCTGTAAACCTTCCCGTCCCCACTATGCCTTTAACCCACTGTTCCCCATCCTTCCTATGTTCCATTTTAATAAAAACTACTCTTAAAGAGTTACTATAAATTATACACTCAAAATGTAATAAATGTACTAATGTCAATATACAAACTGCAAATGAGCTTACTCAATGACCTTTAAAAGTTTCAAATCCTTTGGCGCTATCAGGTGGTGTTAGCTGAACTGTCTGAACATTTAATTTACACTATATTTTGAAAAGAATACCTACACAAGTTACTGGATATTAGTTTTGGAATAGTATTTTTTACTAACGAGGTCTTCTTTTATTCCACAAAAGATACATCCTACTTCTTGTTTGATTCTTTTGGATAATTTAAGAAAATTCAGTTTCGTGAAAAGCGACTAACAATTCAGAGAAGAGGTTAGTGACTTTCAAAGAAGTTAGTGTTCAAAAAAATTACAAATTTTTTTCAATAATTTAGAAAATTTCCCCCATTTTTCTCTAATGATTACAATTAAGCATTGTTAATCAACCACCATCTGTATAAGACAATAAATAGAAACCTTAATATGGCCTCGGATGTTATAATTGTCACGTATTGATATTTCACAAGAAATTTGAAAATTCAACTTTTCCTGGATAAAATGACGTATCTTAGATCATTTCTTGCAATGTCTTCTACCCGCTTTCGAAGATTAGCCCGGACAATCAGACAGAAATTATGATTGTGTTTATGTGATATTTAGATGTATATTAGGGCATTCGTTATTTTGGATCTGGTGGAAAGCTTGTTACAAATAATTAAAAAACAATTTCGATTTTCGTCTCCACTCAACTTGAAAATTCCCATTTAAAATATATTAATGTGCCTTCAAATATCCACTTATTTTAGACGAATTCACATAGTCCCAGAATCCAGCCACATAGCCCTGCGAGATAGTGAAAACTAACATTTACTAGGACTTTGTGAATTTAAATGGGAACTTTCAAGTGCTTTGGGGCCATAAAAATGGTGAATATAAGAAATCGAAAAAAAATTAGGGAAAAATTCTACCAGACCCAAAGTAAAAAACACCCTAATGTCTATAGAATCTAGATATTGCAGCTATAGATACACTTTGAGAGGTTTATTTGAAAGTGATTTGATCACTTTCAGTTTGAGGGATTCCTACAGATCTGTGTCCATTCCAATAATATACTCGGTTACCGCAATGTTTTTTTTGTCATTAATTGATAATTATTGCGTTGCAGGCGAGCACGGTGAACCGACGGCTGACATGAAGTCGACGAAAACACCCGTGGCCACAGCCGACGGCGGCAACGGTGGCGGCAGCGCGGACGAGCGGGCGGCCACCACCATCCAGGCCGTGTACCGCGGGTTCCGGGCCCGCAAGTACGCGGAGACGGTGAACGCGGCCGCGGCCAAAATCCAGGCCGGGTTCCGCGGATACCGCGTCCGGCAGTCGCTGAAGAACGGCGCCCCGGCGTCGACGGCCACGACCACGGAGAACAGCCTGTGCTGGTCCGACGACGAGCAGCAAAAGTCCGTGGTGTCCGGCGTGGTCGCCGCGGACGACGTCGTCGGCCCGGCCGCCGTGCGTCACCGCACAGACGACGAGGCTCGTACGGACGCGGCCATCAAAATACAAGCGCGCGTCCGCGGGTACGTGACGCGCAAGAGGTTGAGCAAGGAGAAGAACGAGAGGGACGGCGGCGACACGAAAAGAGAAGACGGCACGGATAATTAGTTATCAAAACAATTATATTCGTTTTTCATTACTTTTTCAAAATAACTATAATGTTTGTCTGTTTTTCCAAACAGTTAAATTTATTAGTAATATTATAATATATCTAGTTGCATTGATTTACCATACCATTATACTATTCGTGTGTGTTTTTTTGTAGTACTTAATAGGTATTGATAGAGCAATACGTTTGATATAATAAATAATTTAATTTAAATTAAATGCATGCCAGATTTATGATAAATATAATATTTAAGTTTAATATAAATTTTCATGTTTAATATAATATTTAAATTTAATATATATAATATATAAAATTCATGTTTGATATAATACATAATTCAATTTAAATGTAATGCATGCCAGCTTTATGGTAAATATAATATTTAAATTTTAATATAAATAATTTCAGTGTTTAATCATAATCATTGTAGCAGCCAGCTTGGTAATATATATATATATATAAAATTCATGTTTGATTTAATACATAATTCAATTTAAATGTAATGCATGCCAGCTTTATGGTAAATATAATATTTAAATTTAATATAAATTTTCATGTTTAATATAATATTTAAATTTAATATATATAATATATAAATTTCATGTTTGATATAATAAATAATTTAATTTTAATTTAATGCATGCCAGATTTATAGTAAATATAATAATTAAGTTTAATAATATACATAATTAAATTTAAATTTAATGCATGCCAGATTATTGGTAAATATAATATTAAAATTAAATATAAATTTTCATGTTGGATATAATACATAATTAAATTTAAATTTAATGCATGCCAGATTTATGTTAAATACACTATTTAAGTTTAATATAAATTTTCATGTTTAATAAAATGTATTTCATGTTTGATATAATGCATATTTAAATTTAACTTTATTACGTATTTTATCGTAAATGCAAAAAAAATGTGTAACGCATATTTAATCTAGTTTTCTAAGCATGATTGCACCATTTTCAATCTTATAATGTTGCACTTGTACTAATTTGACTTGTGCTAAACGATCCGAATCGAGTCCAAAATCGACGATACCCGCCAGGACCCGATAATATTTAATTATATCTCGGTTGGGATTTACCCATCGGGTGATTGATTTTTGATATAGTGTATTTAAAAGTTACCTCTCAACCGTAAAGCGGTTAGTTTGTTTTCATCTATGGACTCAATGAGTATTGATTAACGTTTATGAACGTATGCCACAAGCATGGCATTATTTTTGGTCGGAATACACAATATAATATATTATTATATTGTCATTTAGTCTTAATACGTAGAGTATTTTTTTTTTAAATTAAAAAATTTATTTATTATTCTCATTACAGTACAATTTTTGAAAATAATATTATATATTATTGTTAATCATACCTATTATATTATATTGTATTCGACGGTTATATTTATAACATTAATATTATTATTATGTATTTTTATGGTTATAATTACCATTTTTTCCAACCATTAGCGATTAGATTTTTTAATATTGTAGTTGTACACGTCTTGTGCCTAAATAGTTTTGATAATTTAATTATTATCAATACAAATTTCTACTCTTTTTACCGTGTTTCGACACCATAACTATGTTTACGCTAATTATAAGTGTACAATAACGTTTACATTGTAATTTATTATAATAATATTAGTTAATATACGTAAAAGTAGTGGATTAGACAATTAGAAAATTTTTTAATAGCTATTTATTTAGATCACTTTGATAATTATTTTCTGATTTTTAAACTTATAAACGTTCTCTTTAATACTTTTACATTTTCCGACACCATTTCGACGGTGTGTTTTAGATTTATATATTATATTATTGAACTTATTAACATTTTATGGACTTTTTTAAACAATTAATTAAGTATACATACGTTACATAACGAATAAGTTAAATGTTAAGTGTAAATTCAAGATGAAGATAAAAAAAAAACCCCAAAAAAATAATAAGATATTAAAAAGCAAAAAAAAATTAGAATAAACTTTTTAAGTAATCGCCTCTATACGGCATAGAAACTATTTTAATAACATTTTATTGCAAATTATTATTCCCGAAAACGTGTAAATAATTTTTCACAAGTCGTACAAAAATAAATTAAAAAATTGTACCCAATTAATAATTTCCATCCCACATAATATGTCAAAATATTAACTTTATAAAACATGATGGCGTTATTTTTAAAAACTGCTATAATAGAATTTAAAAAAATATAATTCTTTAAGAATTTAAAATATATGCTATTAATATTTTCAAATGAAAAACAAAATATACTATAGCATTTACACTTTGTGGGCTACGTGCCTTCTCTGTAATGTTTCAGTCTTTTTGGGAATAATTTCTTTTAATATTACTATATTTTAATTATATTATTAATGATAACAAACAACAACAATTTGACTTAAGACATTTTCTATTCGATTATATTATAATAATAATTAATTTACCAAAAAATATATTTTAGAATTTAGCATACAATATTAGTGGATTTAATTGTTTTCCATTTAACGGTGATCCGATTGATTAGTAATTAACGATTGTCTAAGTCTAAATAATTTGTCGAACAAAAGCGAATTCGGTTATTGCCGTTAATGTTTTTTGTCCGTGAGTTTTTAACATTTTAATACTATTTATTATTATAATATGAAGTATATATATATAAATTAATACATTAATATTAAAATTATACCTACTTTTTTATAAAATATCGTAGTGCGTCCTACCAAAATACGACGCGTCCTTTGATGTGACTACTGCCGTTTCGAATTTAGAAAAAAAAAAAGTTATAAAAAAAAATGTTTAAAAAAGACAATCTTAAGCGATTTCAAACGGACGTCGGTTCGAATACAATAATTGTTTGACAATGATTTCGGTTGACAAATTATTCTTATTGGCTGAATGTCTACAAAAAAAGAAAAAAAAACTTTCACCTTTTTTTTCTCTTCCCAACGTTTGGACCGACAAAAAAGCATTTCATATTATATTTGTTTGTTTAGAAAGAAATATTCTAGAAAATGATATCGGACTAGGGGGAACCTAATCTTTATGAAAAGTAAACAATAATAATAAAAAAAAGATACCAAAATACGACCATTTTTTTTCCTTCTATAAAATCTCTCATTGATTGATAATATTTAGGTATATTATTATTATTGTATTGAAACAAACAAAACAAATATATATTATTCTAAAAACAATAACAACATACAAAATTAAATTGCTCATAAACTTTTTAATACGTTTCGTATACCGTTTGATATATGTATATTTTGTATCGACGTTTTTTCATTAAAAATGAAATAAAACAAAAGCAATCATAATAATATAAAATATATATACCCGACATACATAATTATATAAAACACAGGATCATGACTGGCCAGAAATGTCCAGAAAAAGTTTAAATACATAGTATTAATTGGTCCGTAAGCAATTTAAAATGTTTAAAAAAAATATATATATATATCAAAAATACAAAATATTAAATGGTTTAAAGCAGATTTAATATTAAAAAAAAACGACCTAAACACAGGTTAATGTGAAAAAATGTAAACAATATATTCTATTTCATCTTTGTATTTTTTTTTTTATTTATTATTTACTACATGTATTAAGTAGGAATGAGACTAATCCTATTAGGTCTCATTCCATCAACAATATTTGAGTAATAAACTAGAACAAGTTATGTTTATCATCAAAATTATTACAATTATTATTAATATTATTATATTTACTAATTATAATGACTTAATTGTTTAATAATTTTATTCATTACTACTATTACCATTATAAAAAATTATTTTTTGTTACTATTATTCATTATAATAACGTTTTATTATAATCTTACCTACTGTTATTACTATTGTATTCATAATATGCTTTAGTAATATTATTTATTATTACATTATTTTTTATTAGTTGTATTCGTTATTATTATTATTAGTTAATTTACAATATGATACAACACTAATGTTGTTAATATGTTATTTTTTTTCTATACCATTCTTTTTATTATTATAACTAGTAAATATCATTACTTATTATTTAGTAAGGCAATATTATAATCTTTTATTTTTCTCGTGCAAGAAATAAAATATGTTGTTTGCGACAATTGGTGTTTATTCATTCAACAAATACCTTAGACTACAATTTTGAACTTCCAATAGGGAAGTATTATAATTTGCAAGCAAGTGGTAAAATTATAAATTCAAATTATTTTGCTTGGCTTATGAAAACAATGGATATATTTTGGAATTATACTACCCAAAACGGCCAAACAGCAAAATAATTAGTTGTTGATCAATGATCGAATGTTTTAAAAGGTTATTAAAAAATTATATGTTGTTAAAAAACCAAATGAATATTTCAAACTATATTATAAAAGTATTGTAATAATGTTGGTTAATATATTTTAATTAACGTTTAAATAATGTTTACTTTTAAAAATAAAGAGCAATTATTTTTAAAATAGAATTATAATAATTACATTTTATTATAGCAAAAGTATGTTCCTAAGATCAGAATAAGACGCATTAAACTTAATAACGAATCAAAGATGTATTATAAAAAACCCAAAAGAGGCAAACGAAAACTATTAAAATGGGGATGTTGTAAGTTAATTGGATTTGGAAAACTAAAATTCATTATAAGGTAATTTATAAGAATACTGTATTTTGATTAGTTTTTTTTTTTGGACCAATATAGCAATTCGCTGACCATACCACACACCCCGAAAAAAAAACTTAAGAATAAAATGGAAAAATTATATTAGAACTACAAAACGTGTAAACGTATTGACATTACGACTATACGCTCATTCGTTCAAACTTAAACATACCCATAACTATAGCTAGTTACTAGACAACAATAAGCAAGTGTCAACAATAAATGTATTTTTAAGTTATAACTTCTTTTTACTTTTTACTCGGTCACTTTCAAAATGATCAGAACAAATACAATGGGTATTGAGTGGTTTGCAACCAGGCATTTTAAGAATGTTCACCCAAAAATTTAAGTTTTAATTGTTCGCCCGAAGAAAATCTACAGAAACCGACTTACAAAAAAATCTTAAAAATCTTAACCCAAAAAATTTAGTATTTTCATTTAAAGATGTTTTTGTACAATTTTTTACTGAACACTTGTAGCCAGTCCACACGCGATTTACTTTAAACACGTCTTGTAGTTTGTTATTATAATTAATTTTTACTGT